ACATAATTGAATAATGTATTCATAATTCTATTTCCTTTCTTTTCAATTATTTTATTATAATGTTATTATGTAATTATTTTATTATAATTATTCAATTATATATTCATAATTCTATTTCCTTTCTTTTCAATTATTTTATTATAAGTTAAGATAATATGCTAGTTTCGCGAGTGAAATTAAAATATATTAATATATATTTATAATATATATTAATATATAATTAATATATATTATTTTAAATATATAATTTAATAACGTTGATAGGAAAGTTGTGTGCAAATAGTGCAATAATTACACACAATTGATGTAATTTTTATGATTTTATTGTTAATATTTGATACTGAAAATGATAAAAGCAGATAAGTATTCAAAGATATTGTTTTATAATAGAAATTGATTCTCGAGTTCTCATGCTACAAAAAAAGTTCATTAGTAATATGCATCGCAGTTGGTACAGTTTATATCAGCTATACTTTGCGTGCAAATTTTGAATACGTAAATGCCGTCAGCTACAAATCGCGTTGCGTGCAGAGAAGAAAATATTTATGCGATCTATTAAAATAAACACACACCGATATGCATCAAGCATTGCAGCGACGCTATAGCGAATAATGGGCAAATAAATTCTTATATTGCCGAAAAACAAAACATAGCAGTTTCGAATAGCAATTCATCGCGTCGCATGCACACTTACATATATCCATGTTATCGGTTGTCTGCTAGTTTATGCAATAATTAACTTTTCTGGCATCATATATCATTTGCTTTTGATTTGACCGCATGACAGATATTGATGGATTAACTCGCTTTGATCGTCATGCGATCGTCAATTCTCATAATTACTATTACATCAATTTCTTGAAATCGATTAGTGTATGCATTTACTACTACATCAGACATTAAGCAATTATTTCGTCGCATCAAAGACGTTTGGTTTGCAATATAATTCCACTTTTTTAAGTATCAAATAAGAAATTAAACCGCACATATTATCAAAGAATTGTAAAGGATAATAAAATATAGATATATTGCGTTAATCTTATTTTAATTGGAAAAAAATTTATAAATAATTTTACAATATATTTATTTAACGTTAAAATTCCAGAATGGATAGGTCATATGTGACACATTTCGATTAAATTTTAATCTAATCTCTTCCCAGGAAAATTATTATATTATCAAGATTAGGATTGACCAATCCTCTACCTAAAAATAATAAAAAAGAATTTTATTATTGAATAAAAAAATAACTTACTATTAATCATATCGATTAATTATATTATTTCTCATTAAACTGTTATTAAATTTACAATAGCACTATATCCTTAAATGATATTATTAAATAATATTGTTATATTAGTGTAGGATTTATATGGTCTAGTAACGATAATTTGAAGATCATTTTTTTACACACAAAGTGCATTATAATCACTTTGTTTGTGAAATAATAGGAATATAATAAGAAAATAATTATTCAAATCGCGACTTACTTATTGGTGCAAACGCAAATTTTATTGCAGTATCCTCTCTTGTATTTTTTAAATCTGCAATGAGTATTGCAAGCGGTACGAGTACCAATAGAAAGATTACAAGTCGCTCTACGTTCGCGATGATGTTGTTCGACAGGATGATGTTCCAAATTCAACAATTTGTTCTCATTTGCCGGTTGGGATTTCGATTCATCTTTATTTGACATACGTAATAGAGAAATGTTATTATTACTCCAAAATAAAATTAGTTAAAAACATTATTTTTTCTTATGGTATTAAAATTATTACTGATAAAAAGTATTGAAAGAATTAATATATATCGGTATGCAGTATATGCAAATATATTTAAATATTTTAAAAGGTATTTTTGACATCCACGGACTTTGTTTCAATTTATATTAGCATATTATATTAGTATATCGCCTTTTCTACTAAGTGTTATCGTTATTATCGTTATTAAAAATGAGACATAAATTTATATTCTTCTATTTGCAAAGTTATATTCTTATATCTATTCGATTGTAGATTGTCTTTCATACCTTCAATGGGAAGGCAACTGCAACCAAAAACAAGAGAGCGAATACAATCTTCATTTTGAAAATTTTTCATCAGAGATTAGAAAATCATCTGATTGCATCGTGCAATCAAGATCAAAGAACGTTTTGTTTGCAATATGATTTCATTTTTTAAAGTATTAAATAAGAAATTAAAGCATGTACTGAAGGATTGTGAGAGATAAAATATAGATATATTGCGTTAATCTTATTTTATTCAGAAAAATATTTATTACAAGTAATTTTGCAACACATACATTTTATATAACGTTAAAATTTCAAAATGGATAAGTCAGACATGACACATGTCGATTAAAATTGCAATCTAATCTCTTCTTAGGAAAATTACGCTGTTATCAGAATCAAAAATCAATCAGGCATCATTAATCAATCTTCTACCTAAAAATGAAAAAACGATTTTTATTATTGAATAAAAAAATAACTTAATCATATCGATTAATCATACATTTCTACATTAAGTTGTTATTAAATTTACGATAGCAGCAAGTTCTTAATTAATATCATATAATGTAGGATTAATTATGATCACTTTATGAAATAATAGGAATATAATAAGAAAATAATTATTTAAATCACGACTTACTTATTGGTGCAAACGCAAATTCTGTTGCTATTGCAATATCCTCTTTTGTATTTTTTAGATCTGCAATGAGCATTGCAAGCGGTACGGGCACCCCATGGAAGTCTACAAGTGGCTCTACGTTCGCGATGATGTTGTTCGACAGGTTCCAAATTCAAGAATTCGTTCTCATTTGCCAGCTGGGATTCCGATTCATCTTTATTTACATACATAATAAAAAAATGTTATTATTACTTCAAAATAAAATTAGTTAAAAACATTATTTTTTCTTATGGTATTAAAATTATTACTGACAAAAAGTATTGAAAGAATTAATATATATCACAGTATGTAGTATATGCAAATATATTTAAATATTTTAGAAGTTATTTTTGACATCCACGGACTTTGTTTCAATTTATATTAGCATCGCCTTTTCTACTAAGTGTTGTCGTTATTGTTGTTATTGTCGTTATTGAAAATGAGACATAAATTTATATTTTTCTATTTGCAAAATTATATTCTTATAAGTAATAAAGTTATATCTATTCGATTGTAGATTGTCTTTCATACCTTCAATGGGAAGTGCGATGGCAACTGCAACCAAAAACAAGAAAGCGAATACAATCTTCATTTTGAGAAATGTTGAGTGTTCGATGGATCTTGTATCATTAGAATATTCCTTTAATACCACTCTTTATATACCAACTCGAATGATGATAAATTGCGCAATACGTGACGAGTGGGGAAATAGTGATAAATATAATGATTTTTGTTTCATTGAATCTTGTTAGTTCTTCAATTATTCAGAGAGATAAGAAAAAATACATATTTATATGTTTGTTTTTAAAATTATCTCATTAGAACCTTTATAATACTCAAGTTTAGAGATTATATTTGCATAATCATTTTAATTATATTTAATAATTTAAAGCCATGCTCAAAATACAAGAAACTAAACTAAAAAAATAGAGTAGATTTGCGACAATATTTAGCAAATCTATCAAATCTATTTTAGTTAATAAAATTAATTTTCTTAAAAATTAATTTTTTATTTTTGATCACTTCTTTTATTTTTTTAGTTTTGATCCGCTTTTCCAGCTGTATGTTGATACTTAAAAAAGTACTAGTAAAATCATGAAGCCAAAATACATTCGTACAACGCTGTACTTGATTATAAGTTTTGTTTTGTAATTATCCATCGATACTAAAAAGAAAAACAAAATCAAAACAAAAAAGGAAAAGGAAAATAAAAACAAATTCACATGCAAGTATAACATATCTTATTTCACTGGCAAATTCTTAAAGTTATGTCAAAATATATGTCAAAATTTTGTAGATTGATTAATTATTTTTATCTGGATCTAAAAATAGAGCATGATTCTTTAAACGGTTTAAAAATTATTCAATTTTTATATTTGTTGGTTCTTATAGAGAGAAAAGTGTCTATTACGTCATTGAATATACTATATTTAGGATATTTATATTTTGTTTTAAAATTACTACTTTTCTTAAACTTAAATTTCCTATAACAAGTAATGAAACAAATTAAATTTTCAATATATTGATCTTTTGTATTAGAAAGTCACTATCAAAAAGAACAGAAAGGGAAAAAAAGTTAGTTAATTAAAAAGTTATGAATATTAAGAAAATTTTATTTAAAATCTATTATATATATTTGTGCATGTGTTCAATCAATGAATTATTTGCGATAATGAAATATACTACATGATTTTTAATATAAACATATTATAAAATATAAAGATATTAACTTTATTAATTCAATATTAATTTAAATATAAATATTAATATTACTACTAACATATGTACAATTAATATTACTTACTAACATATGTACAATTATTAACAATATAAATTTTTTAAATTAATTATTTATATTATTTTTACTAACTAATAATAGATATTATAGATATTAATATAGATATTAAACAGTAAATTTGAAAGATATGCGAAAAATTTGTACATCTTTGTATGTTTTTGTATATTTTTTCAATTGTTATATTGTTATGTTATATCTTATAGAAATAAATATTTTAGGTATGAGAGAAACTTCCATTTGTATCATAAATAGAACAATGGTGAAGATCCACGTAAAGAACTGAGCGAAAATATTAAACAAAAGAAACATTATTTCAAGTTTTGCATCCTAACAAACTAGTTTTTACATAAAAATATGAATATTATTATAGACTAACCTTATGAATAAAATCATAGCCAAAATAAAACAAGCCCAATCCGGTAAATTTTAACGGTTGTAATGATGCTTGCAAAACGAAGTAACAAATCTGCATTATATGATAACGCAATTATAATTTAAATACATTTAAATAAACATTATTTGATATCAAATTAATTATATAAGTTATATAGAAAAGATTTCTCTCACCTCTTCGTATATCTCGGTAAAACAAATAAGATTTGTCAATTTATAAATAACAATCTTAGTATTTTGTGCCTAAAATAATTTAGAAATATTTATATTGTTTTTTAAAATAAAGTTTTTTATTATTTTTAACGACATTAATATTTTAATAAAGTTGGATAAAAACTTTTCCAAACTTTTCGATTTATAAGTAAAAAAGATTGCTTTTGCAGTATTAATATTTCTTTTAAAATAATTATATATATTATTATATATATATATTATATATATAATATATATTTTTATTATATATTATATTGTATATATTAATATATCTTTTAGAAAAAATATATAAATATATAATATAAGTTGAAAATTATATAATTTTCATGCTTATGAAAAAATATTTTTTTAATTTATCAAAAATTCTTACCTTAGTATTAATGCTTTCACAGGTATGATTTACTAATATTAGTCTCATTACAAGTACAATAGACCACATGCTGCACGAGAGTAATAAATATAGTAATATACTATTATACGTTGTAAAGTAGATTGTTGCATAATATAAAAAATTACACATCTCTACTAAGATGATGAAATAGGACATCATTTGTAGAGTCATTTGAATTTCGGATAGGTTATATATAATACGAGTTATTCGGCAAAGTTCTGAATGAAGATGCCTAGATTTATATAAATAAACTAATATATGTTTTTAAGAAAAATATATTCGTTATATATTCTTTATAAAAAAGTCATATGCATGCAATTATGTTTTAAACGCATTTAGCTAGAGCTAAACTTACATCAAAAGATTTATTATGTTGTCAAATAGCAGAAAATATATGTTTATTTCTATGCATTATATTAAATAGAAAATTTTTAAATTTACTTTGCTATTGATAAACTAATATAAAATTGATGATAATGAATAGTAAAACGTTCTAATTATAATAAGTAAAATATGATAAGTATATTAAATAAAATTTATGAACGTGGCAAAATTATTTTTTGTAAATTATTTTCCGCAATTTGTTTATGTCATATATATCAACATAAATCAATTTACATTAAGGTCCACAATGCATGCTTGCTATTCTCAATGCTTCGAACATAATAATTGGTAACAACAAAAGATTTCTTCCATTTGCACTTTATTCCATAGTCTTCTATTTTCAATAGTTGTTCAATATAATCGTTCATTTTATCCATTCTAGTACCAATATGCCTGTAATTTAAAAAGATATTTAGAGAAATATTTAGAGAATGGTATTAAAGTTTTTTACATATAGTAGAACAACAATATAAATAATTTATTTAATTATTTTTTTCTGTTATTGAAAATTATCCAATTTTATAGATTATAAAAAACTTCTCAGTTTATACATATATATTTGGTTGAATAATAAGGAATTAATACGTAATATCAGATAAATTTTGTCTATATGGGACATAAAAAACAACAATATACAACAATATTAATATAAAATAAATAAATTTATATTTTATTATACATTTATTACACACTCAAACAAAAAAGTCGTACCAGTAATTAGAAATTTAGAACACACAAATAGCGCCTCAACTATATATAATAAAGTTGTAATAACAACAATTAAACAAGTTATATGAATCAAGAAAAAGTAATAATAATTCATTTGTAATAAATGGATAAACTAATATATTGTACCGTTGTTATCAATATGTATTTTTTAAACTTATCTTTCTAGGATATTATGGCATTATGCTTACTTCACAAAAATATTTGTTTAAAAAATGGAAAATGTAATTATATATTATAATTATATATTATAATTGGTTTATATGAAATTTATATAATTATGTAATTACAGTTGAATCACTATTTCACAATGCATTAATAATTCATATCTATTGATATTGTGACTATATTTTTATTCTGTTCAATATTATTTTCCTATTTATTATTTTCAAAAACTAGTTATAGGTGCTTAAATTTCATAATTGTCATAAATATAGTTGCTAGAAATATTTTATCTTCTCTCAATGCATGCATATTAAATATGAAAAATTAGAATCTATCAAATTAAATTTTCCAAACTTTAATAATGTCCATTATAAAATAATCGCAGAAAAATAAAATTTGCAAACCTTAAAAGAAGTATGAACTTTATATCCATAAGGGTATTAATATGTATAGTATAATTTATTACAAAAGGAATAAGTATCCCCTTTATATTGTTATATATTCTTACACAGAGCATAGAGTCAAGAATGGACGATATGCATATTATAAAAATTAATA